TTTTATTCAAAACTTATACATCATGTTAGTATCACATCTATATAATAAAGTAGAACAAATTTAAATTTTGGAGACAAAGAGTAGTGTAGATCGTTTCGTAACCGAAAAAAATATCATCTAACGGACGACGTTTCAGATCGTTTTGATCCGACGTACCATATTAACTCTTTTGAATATAGTTTCTAAAATTGATATTTCAAAAAGAAAATTATGTAATAAATATTAGAGAATAATATATATCATGAAAATATTCCTTTGTATCTTTCTCTTTCATTCAAACAATACTACAAACACGAATTATACAAATTTAATAGTTAATTTTATTTTTTCCATAATCAATAAAAAAAAGCATAACTTGCAAAAAAATCTAATTTAACAAAGAAAATATGTTTAACATGTAAAATATACAAGTTAAAATTTAAGTTATTGGGCAACTCAGATATCAAAAGATATATTAAAAAAAATATATTAACATTTAAAATATACAAGATTAAATTCATATACAAAAACAAATCATACAAATTCAATATTTAGTGAATAACACAAAGCAACAATATTTACTAAATAATTCAAATCTAAATACCTGAGGAAAATGATACAAAATTACAAGCAAGAGAAACGATACAAAATTATAAGCAATACTATAAATACGAATCATATAAATTCAATATTTTGTGAACAATACAAAACAACAATCTTTATTAAATAATCAAATACAAAATAATGTTTAGTTTAAGAAAATATACTAAGAATATAAATAACTTAAAAAAATGATATAAAATTAAAAGAATTACTATAAACTTGAATCATACAAATTCAATAGTCAATTTTATTTTTTCCATAATCAATAAAAAAAAAGGCATAACTTGCAAAAAATCTAATTTAACAAAGAAAATATGCTTAACATGTAAAGTATATAAGATTAAATTCAAGTTATTTGGCAACTCAGATATCAAGAGATATATTGAAGAAACTATATTGAACATTTAAAAGATACAAGATTAAATTCATATACAGACACGAATCATACAAATTCAATAATTAGTAAACAATACAAAGTAACAATATTTACTAAATAATCCAAATTTAAATACCCGAGAAAAATGATATAAAATTACAAACGAAATAAACGATATAAAATTATAAGAAATACTATGAACACGAATCATACAAATTCAATATTTAGTGAACAACACGAAACAACAATCTTTACTAAATAATCCAATAATAAATAATGTTTAGTTTAAGAAAATATACTAAGAGTATAAATAACCGAGAATAATGATATAAAATTAAAAGTACTAGTATAAACTTGAATCATACAAATTCAATAGTCAAGTCGTATCTTTTGAAAATCGGTTAAATTTCTGATAGTTATATTTGGTCATTTGACAGCATCTGCAGACTTAGTTTATTTGTAGAAGTATTGTTTTAATTTTCATTATATTATTTATGAATTTTGTTATTATTTAGATAAAATTTATTATAAATGTTAAAATCGTGAATTTTAAATCAAAAATAGAACATTGAATATTGTCAACTAACATATTTTTTCAGATGTTTGAATTGTTATGTTTAAATAGTTATAACATAATTTTGTTTCTTAACAATTAAATGTGAAAATATATACTATGTATGTAGGTTGATTTTATAAAAAATATTAGCAGACTCATTTTGTTCGTCGTTTACTATAATGTTGTATTTTACTTTACATTTTTGTATGAACACATATTTGTAATTAATTTACGAATAACACCGTGCCTTCAGGCATAAACAATTGCTAGTAATTTGATAAATGATGACCCGATTACAACCACAATACGAGGTGACAATTACTTTAGGGAATGCTTCGACCCAGTTGGGTGAGCCCTAGGTTGTTGGAACATCACTCCCATTGGGGCTTGACTACGATTTTATTATCTAATGGATGTTTTTATGATTTTTGTAGGTTATTTTATAATAAAAAAATTATTACTTTTGTAGGTGTTCTAATTACGGTTATGGATATTTTTATTATATTTATGAATGTTTTTACCACTGTTGTGGTAACTATTTTTTTTATTGTTTTGGTGCTACAACAATTGTAAAAGTACCTACAAATGTGATAAAAATAATCACAAATATAATAAATGAATGTATAATATCAATAATAATAATAATTGGTACCCTATTCAACTCACTCCCAATGTATTATTGGAAGTTGGAACATCCTTGTTTTTTTCAAAGGAGTAGGCTAAGGTACCCAAAAAAACAAAAGTACCGCACCATTATTTATAATATGTGTGAGTGTTTTTATAATTTTTATGAATATTTTTATTAATTTTGTAATAACTGTTTTTACGATGGTATCTTATGGTAGATCTTAATATTGTAAAAACAAGCACAAAAGTTATACATTACACAAAAAATTACAACTTTTTTTGTTGTAAAATGATCCATAAAAATTATAAAAACACCCACTAAAATAATAAAAGTTAGAGGTACAGTACTATTTTTTTTTAATACTATAGTCTTCTCTTTTCTTTTTAATAATTCTAGACCAACTATAAAAATAATAAGAAACAGAAAATAAATGATGACCCGATATTTTTTATTTATTTAATTCAAAACTTATATATCATACTAGGAGTTATTTGATAACACCATTTAATGCATAAAACTGAATACTTTAAACGCTTAATGAATTAAACTCTTTTGATAACTTAAAATTATATCATTTAATGTTTTAAACACTTCTTAAAAATAAGTTAAAATTTTAAGTAGCAAGTGACTTACTTATCATTTTAATGCTGAAAATGTTAGTAAAGATTTTATAAGTTTTTCATAATGGACAAATTTAACCTCAATATATGTTACACTCCTACTTTTCAATACTCACTATCCATCACAACCATCATTGTGTTGTCACTACCATTGTGTCATGGTCATCACCATCATTATGTCATTATTATCACTACCACCATCACTGTCATTATTGTGTTGTCGTCGCCGCCACCACAATGTGTCATTGTCAGCGCCACCATTGTGCCACCACAACCATCATTGTCATGGTAATAGTAGGAATAAGTTAGTTGCTATGAAATAGTTAAAAAGAATGACAAAAACTTTGATGGAATTTGATAAATTTTTTGTAACTATTCTAACGATTATTTGGGTAAATTTTTGGAATTGACATTGAGTTCTTAGGTTATTATTTCAACAAATTCTTTGTGATTAAGTTGATGAAATTTGATTTTGAAAATGGATTTGGTTATTTTAAGGGATTCTTTTACTTTGGCAATTTCGTTGTGTTATATAATTCCTTCAAACACAAAAAATAACTAATATATATTATTGATAAGTAATGGGCTTTGGAATTTTAGTCGGTCATGGTGGAGGTAATAAATCCTTCCAAAACTAGACTTAATGTAATTTCAATCTCTAAGATTTTTTGTTACACTAATACTATTGAAACATAATTTAGGGATATAATATATTGTGACTATTAAATTGATAATAGAGCGCATTTAATATTTAGACTCATTGATAATCTAATAACCAAAATTATTATGTCCGATAATGACGGGATCTTAGATATGGGTTACCCTTGTCAAGAGCCCAAAAGGTTAAAAAGACCTTCATCGGCAGAATGGCCCAAACAGCTCACTTATAGCATATACATTCCGGGATCAGAGTGGGTTGCGCTCAAAGGATGAAGCCCAACAGTGCCTAAAGACTTAAAGCCCAACCCAACTTCGATCTAGCTCGGTTGGAGGTCAACTCGGGATCAAGGAGCTCAGCCTCCATGTCGATCCTAAATCACTCCCGCTGGGTCAGGTGTCCAAAAGATAGGAGGACCACTTCTGACACTCATAACGAACACGCACTCACTATCACAGAGAATATTGGTGAACGTAACTGCTCAATGTTCGTGGATGCGGTAGCGCCATATGACAGAGGTCACTACCGGACAAAAATAGAAGGACCCACAGAATCAACAAAAAAGATGAAGAAGTCGCAAGAAACCCTAGAAGGATTATCTGTATCAATAGGACACTATTACTCTACAAAACACACACGATCATCATCTTCCTCATGCCTACACAGTTAATCTCACAGATAAAATTGTATTCTCTAAGGATTTTCTTGTAAAGGCTCTAAGCCAAATAAACTGTTGTAACCATCACTATAATAAAAGTCATTTTTTGCGACGATTGTTTTTCGTCGCGTGTTTATCGCAATAATCTTGTCACATGAAGTATTTTGCGTCGAATAAAAAATGTCGCCAAAACTTCAGAAAACATTGCTAAAATCAATTCCACAAACTTAAAAAAAATAATTTAATAAATTTTTCGCGACGAAAAAAATCGTCGCAAATATATTTTTCATAAATAAAATTTTAAAAAAATAATAATTTAATTAATTTTTCGCGATGTAAAAAAATCGTCGCAAATATATTTTTCATAAATAAAAAATGTAAATAATAATTAATTAATTTTTAACGACATAAAAAAAAACCTCGCAAATAATTTTTTACATAAATAAAAAATATAAATAATAATTTAATAAATACATTTGCGGCGTATAAAAAATCGTCGCGAAAAAGATTGTTCCTACAATTTTTTCGCGACGATTTTAATTCCGTCGCAAAAAAAATCTTTTTTTAAAAAAAAGTTAATTCATAAAAAATAATATTCCAATAAAATTTTTCACCTATACACACCAATAATACCTGTGTTGAATAAAAACTAACACAATTAATACATTTCACATCTTTTCCATTCAACATACATTTCATATCTTTTTTAAAAAAACAAAATTTTAATTCCAAAAAGAATGAGTTATAAGAATCAAAGAACAAGAAGTTCTAAAAATAGAAAAAAATAGCTTTAATCCTTCAAGAGGATTTAAACCATCTCTAATTACATTTAATGTCTCAGCACCCAAGCCTCCAGAAGCGGTATTCTGCCATTTGGACAAACTGATAGCACAAGTACAATGTTTGTATATAAACCTCATGGCTACTGGAGCATGTCCAAGAAAGATAGGTATATTACCAAGTTCAACAGCCAGACAACTTCATCAAGCATAGAGACAACAATTCCCGCCGAGCCAGCATCAATCAGTTCTGACCTCAGGGAAGACAGTTTTGATGACACGTCTAAACCAGCATACTTTACATCATGCACTCTAATTGGTTTGCTTGGAGGCTTCGGCCTTGATTCTTTCCATACTTGATCCACGAGATTAAAATCCGTTAAGTATACCAACTCATGATTCCTTTTAGATATGGCCTCCTTTAATTCTTCTGCAGCATCAGAAGAAAAAAGAAACTGCTCCCTTCACAGAAACAAAGAGAAAGTGGCATCAGACAAGCAAGTATGAAGAATGGAGTTCTACATCAGTATATTGAGACACAAATATCCTAAAACATTAAATACAAAGGAGAGGGGAAGGGAAAGATAAAATCACACAGTAAGAAAACCAATATTTATGTGCTAAAAAATGGCATTGCAATTGACAAAAATGTAGGGATGAGCAATTGAGAACCCATCTATGAGAGAAATCCTTCAGTGTGCACACACATCAAACACAGACTCTCCCAAATCCTCTGATAGGGAACAAAAAATCCCCTCAAACACTAGCTTATTCTTTAATCATAATCAACGTTCCCATTTTCCATTCTCATATTATTTCCCTTGGTCTCCAATTCCGAAGAACTTCCTAAAACTCATATCTTTTGCATAAGGAGTCACAGCACCAGGATATAAAAACTTGGATCTTCACTTCCTAAGTCTCGAACTTGATCACTATAAAAATTTATGCCCTTATCTGTGTTTCATGAATCATGTCCTCGAAGATGGCATGGTAATACTTTCAATATAAGCTACATGACACACAAAAACTGGAAACAAGGAGAAATCTCAATTTAAAAGGTTAAAAACTGTCTGAAAAGTTTCATTTTGCAATTGGATAAGATAATTTGTCTTGGAATTTGATAACCAACAATCTGGTGACACAACATCAAAAGTCGAGTATTACTCACAAGATCAATGCCAATTCGGCAACCAGGAGCCAAAACATCATTAAGCCATTCATTGGTGGTAGGCACCCCCACATTACCTGTCCGCATGAGAATCCAGCTAGAGCTCAACTGTTTCTCTGCCTAAGCACAAAAAATAGAGACATTAACAAGAAGAAAGTACGCCTCAGGCAAGAAGATACAACAATAACCATATACTAGTTACGAATCATGTTCACATTTCATACCTGGAGAAAATATCGCCCGTCTGTCCAAAGAGCTGCTTTATCTTTTGTGACAACAGCAGTGCCAGCACTACCAGTAAAACCTGATATAAAGGCTCTCCTCATATAACATTCAACAATGAACTCAGTCTAGAAACCAAAATAGATAGCAATCAGAAGTGGTTATACGAAACATTTACTTGGAGATTTTAGTTATTAATGCATCCATATTAAAACAACATGAGTCCAATAAGCCGACAATCAAGAATTTGGATATGCTAAATGGATTCACCCTTCAAACTGGAAGAGGATAGGTGAGTAAAATTTTGGTCATGGTGAAAATTAAGAGGAACTGCTGAAAGTGTAATAGTAAATTGGAATGATGTCCTTTCTTGAAATATTGGGAGACCTACTCATAGGAAGGAAATGTAGCATAGATGGCTAAAATATGAGGTAGGCCTATGATGTTTTATTAGGCATGGACCAACCAACCAAGATTATGCAAAAGTCTGAGTTTTCGGTGGACAATGGCAGGCCTTGTTTAGGAACTGATGAATGATTGGAAATCTTCGCATAACTCCTAATGTTTACAACTGATCAGGTGATTGCATCAATATACCAATTTCCACATTATGCACTACCTTCTGGTCAGACCAGTCAGCCTAATGCACACATAAAAATTAACTATATGAAAGATCCAGGGACCAATTGGATATGCAATAGGAAATATTAATACAGAAGAGCAAACATATCACCAAAGTAGTGCTGACTCCAAACTCTTTACCAATCTATAGTTCTTTTGAAATTGTGAGTGCCACAAAGGAGAAAAAGCTGAAGGAGCAAGACTTCAAATGACCACTATTTATTTTTGAGACTTTGAGACTTCGATTGCCTTGGACTGAACTTTGAACTTTGAACTTTGAGACTTTGATTGCCTAGCGATTCCACAACGGGGGATGCTTCTCGGTTGATCTCAATGCAGCACAATAGAAATCGAGAGAGAGATGGGGAGGAGGAGTCGAGAGATAGAGAGGGTGGCTCTGAGAAGGGAAATCGAAAGATCGTTGTGATTGTTTTGCTTTTTAAAAAAACTATTCTGCGACAAAAAATAAAATGTGGCAAATAAAATTTTAATTTTGATTTAAAATTAAAAAATTTAAATTTTGCAACGAATCTAAAAATGCCGGAAAAAATTAATTAAATTTTTATTTACAAAACAATTTATTGGCGACATTGCAAAAAATTAATTAAATTATTTTTTTTTTATTTTTATTTACGTAAAAATTTATTGACGACGTTCTTCTGCAAAAGTCGTGAAAAATTAATTAAATTTTTATTTACGAAAAAATTTATTGGCGACATTGCAAAAAATTAATTAAATTATTATTTTTAAAATTTTTTATTTAAGTAAAAATTTATTGACTGCGTTCTTCCGAAAATCCGCAAAAAATTAATTGAATTTTTATTTTTTAAATTTTTTATTTACATAAAAATCTATTTGTGAAGTTTTTTTAAAACGTCGCGAAAAATTAATTAAATTATTATTTTTAAAATTTTTTATTTTAAAAAAATTATTGGAGACTTTTTTTTTTCGAGAAAAATTAATTAAATTACTTTTTTATTTAATTTTTTATTTACATAAAAATATATTTGTGACTTTTTTTTAAAAAATTTCACAAAAAATTAATTAAGTTATTATTTTTTAAATTTTTTATTTTCGTAAAAAATTTATTGGCAACATTTTTTAAAAACGACACAAAAAATTAATTAAATTATTTTTTTTTATTTAATTTGCCAATTCCCGTTGTTTCTTTCACCAAAAATAATTAGTAGGAAATTACCTTTTTGCGACGTCTTTAAAAAAACGTCGCAAAAAATTGCCAAAATAAAATTTTAGACTTTATTTTACTTTAAATTTTAGATTATTTATTTTTGTGATGAAATAAAACTATTTGTGACAAACAATTTTTGTTGTAAAAAATTTGCAATTCCTGCCATTTCTACCGCAAAAAAAAATTAGGAGAAAATCACCTTTTCGCGATATTTTTAAAAAAATGTTGCAAAAAAAATTATAAAAATTGAAATTTGCAACAAAATTATAAAATCGTCGCAAAAAAATAACCTTTTTGCGACAAATTTAAAATTGTCGCAAAAAAAAACGTTGCAAAAAAATGTTTTTTTTGTTGTAGTGTATCTTATTCAAGAAATATACACACACCCCAAAGAGCAAGAGACTATTATAGTGGACGAAACCTTGATTTTTCAACTAAGGTGAACCACTTATATAGTGTTTTGGATTTTCCCTCACACCTTTATCCATTCTCAATCCATACATTCGTTGTACACACTTTTCAGGGCCCTCAGATTGTGGTTCTGGACTTAGGCTAACATTTTTAGCATCATCAGTTTGGCGTCGTCTGTGAAAAACGGTTATCATTGTTTTTTTTTGAGTTTTCTTCATAAATCTCTATTAGTTTGATGGTTTCTACTCGAACTATGAGTAAATCTCATGCCAACTCCCAAGTTCATCAGAACCCACCAGAGAACTTCCTGGCCCTGTAGTGAACATCGAGAATCATTCTTCGACGGTAGATTTACCTCCACTCAACGAGTTGGCAACTTATGAAGCAGTACTAGAATTTGATAGTGTGGATTCAGCCTCATCACCTTCCATAGATCCCACCAATGCACCGTGAGCTTCCTCTTTCTCCCCCACCAGCACAGCACGACATTCCTCCTCAGGACTGTCAAGTACCGCCCAATGGAGTCATAGAGCTCCACGAACGCAGCTTGACTTCGAAGGAGATGACTAACGTTTGTCGAGTTGCGCATGCCGACCCGATCCCTTATTCTGCCCTAGTCACTCCCCAGAATTTGATTCAGTTCAAGATTAGGGGTAGCTCGGCAACTGCTCTTATTGGATCTCGCGAAGTCTCTGCTCCAGAAATTGATCCATGATGTATGATGGGGGAAAGGTCTGTCATCTAGATGAATGGCTTGGCCCCTGCCGTAGGCTTTGTCTTCTTTATGTTCGTCCATATGTCTCCACCGATGATTCTCTTCGAAGTGGTTGTCTAGAGTAGCTGCTGAGCTACCCCCAATCCTGAACTGAATCAAATTCTAGGGAGTGACTCGGGCAAAATAAGGGATCGGGTCGGCATGCTAACTCAGCAAACGTTAATCATCTCATTTGAAGTCTGGTTGGGGGTACCTACACAGCATAGACACAGTCGAAGTTTAGTACAAAGCCTGTAAACCAAAATTGACAAATTAGAGCTCGATAAAGTCTCTAACTCTACACCTCTATCACAAAAGTGCCCCCAAGAGCGAGGGACCCGGACACGTCAATGCCGCCTCTCGACAAACTCCCAAGAGTCCTTAGAAACAAAGAAAAATCACTGGATCCATTCCTCTGGAGAACTAGGGACGCCAGATACCAGCGGGGGGCTACAACATCGCCTCCAGATGAAGCGATTGAAGTAGGGAGGGAAGTCAAAGGAAAGCTCAAAGAAGTAAAAGAATTCAGCGACAATGAAAAAGTCACTAAAGCCTAGCAAACACCAGAAAATGAAGAAGCTGATGAGAATGCCCCATCCTTTAGGGGAAAGGCGAGAGAGGCATAGCCCATTAAAAGACAGAACCTACCCAAAGTCTGGGTGGATAGGAAAACGAAGACCCATTTCAAATGAACCCTCAAAGAAGCAAACCTCCAGTCGGAGGAGAAGGTTGCAGGGTTCGTTAGAAATGAGGGCCCTAACTGTCAAGTCATCAGGGAAATCAAAATGCATCTTCACTTCCTCTATGTTGGAAGCGATGAACAAATAGGGAAGTAGGAATATTGAGTACCACGCATCATTGAGCATGGCATGGGCATGTTGTTTAAATAGCAGGGAAAGATAAGAGCCATGGAGTCTGGAAAGAACAAAAAACAGAGAACAAGAACAAAAGAGAACAAGAAGGTTTATGAAAGAGAGTAAGAACGTGAAGAGCTTGAAGTGCCAAGCTTAAAGGAATAAATAGCATGCAAGGGTGAAGATACGACTGTTAAGCTTCCACAATTATGACATTAATCAATGATAACGGCGCCTTAAATAGGCAAGTGAAGTTAGGTGGATGCAAGTAACGGTTCATTTACGAATTTTCACCCGAGTCCGTACACTTCGACTTAAGAGCATACAATAACAAAACAGGTTTCCACAACATTGCTAAAGGGCACGACCGAGTAGAATTACAACCGAGCAGAATGTATAAGCCAAGCAGAGCTGACTAAGAAATAAAAAGTTCAGCTATGCACAACCCAGAATAGAATGGCTCGAGATCATGCAAATCAGATTGGTAGCAAAAGGAAAGCAAGAATAAAGATCATACTCCAGCAGGTTAAGACCTCCTTGGAGTAGGGGGCAAGGGAACATGGCAATTGATCAACAACACTTCATTCCAAAGAGGCAAAAGTTTACAAGTATTAAAAGAGAATTACAGTCGGTTCAAAAAAAAAAAGAAAAGGAGAAAAGAAACTTGTTTTTCAAGGTTGGCTGGATGGTGGAGCCGCATCAGAGGGATCACTGCTAGAAGAATCACCTAGAGGGAGATCGAATCGAGACACAAATTGATCCAAACCTAGGTCAAGGTACTTCTCAACCGCCTAGTCTTGAAATTTGAAGAACCCATCCACAAACGCCTGGGCATCCCCTCCATTGATTTTCCCAATCTCCTTGCGTTGTTTCTCAACCAGCTCGCATTCTAAAGTCAGAGAGTCCTACAGCTCAGTCACTTGAGTCGTTAGCACTGCTTTGTCGATCTCAAGGCAGACCACCTCCTCGGTTTGAGAGTCGAACTCTTTCTGTAGGGACTTCGCTTTTCTAGTTTGGACCTCCAGTTGCTCCCGCAAGGACATCTCCGAGGTAGTCGCAATGATCAGATGCCGAGAAATCTGAGCTCTTTTATCAAGAGCCACCTCCAGCTCAAATTCCATAACAAAACTCCAGCTTCGGAGCTTAGAATTCCTTTGTCGAGTCTCCTCAAGCTCGGCATCATTCTTGCGTACCTTCTCGAGCTCGACGTCCTTCTTGCAGATCTCCTCTTTCAAGTGATGGATCTCACCTCCAAAGGTGCATAAATGCGTCACC